AATTAGGGCAGCTAGTCTAAGAATATAAATTCCCTGAAGAATGAATTAAAATGAAATGTTTATTATTTCTTTTCTTGTTTTCTAAGGAGATTGCACCACTGAATTCAAATATTAGATTCGGTATATAATAAAGGTTGGAAAACAAATAACTTGATAGATAAATTAACTTGGCATATGTGCATACTGTGCAATGTGTACAGATCAATTATAGTCCTAAACATCAATGGAGAGATTCATGTAAACAAAATCAAGTGATTTTAAACTTCACTCCATTGCACAAGCAAGTGGCTATCAGGACTCACTAGCTAAGTGGATAACACGATGACGTTTAAAACGAATGGTATTGGGTTCGAGTCTCAGAGTAAACATCAACTCTGAGATGCAAATACCTTCAGCTGACGAGTCTCAAATAGGACGAAACGCGCATCCTGGATTCCACTACTAGCCACTATTTATCTTTGTAAATCGATAAAGGGATTATTTCGGATAGTAATATGTTAAGTGTAGAATTAATTCTTTCTTTGTGATAATATTTTAAGAAAATCATAGTGAAAATTGAAATAGTATGTTTTGCTAAGGAAAGTCAGTTAACGACATTCATTAAACTAAGGAATACTATCAAATCGATCCAGTAAAAGTAATCGATTACAATACTCCAATGCGTACATCAATCAAATGTATTGTTTATTTAGCGATAGATGAAATGCGAGTTTACTGTTGATGGACTTATGACAAATATAAGTAATAATAATAATAATAATAATAATAAAACTTTAGAATGCTAAAGAAAACACTAATATGTGAATGAAAGAAAGCCTAACTTGTGTAAAGAAACAAGGATTATTATGATATTTCTCTGTATTTTATGCAGGTTACGAAAGTTACTGCATTTATTTAAGGTAGGACGTTAATATTAGTGATAAGGTTAGATTGTTCATAGACTAATTCGAGAAGTTCTTCATTGATATAAAATCAATATGTTTTAGGCAAAATCTCAAGATCGGTCGTTAATATTGTTTATTTTACTGTGTCATTTATCTAGTTCATCACTGGATATTATCTTCTTTATGCTTATTGTTTTGATATCTTGATAAATTCCATTTAGTACAACAAGTCATAGATGATGAATAGGAGACTAATATGCTGATATTTTGTTTTTATGACATAATACCATGGCTACATCAAGTTTAAAGTACTACTCGCTATACATTCCCTTATATCGTATCATACATAAAAATCATTTTGCTTTCAATATACTCTGATATGGTAGTTTTTATTGTATAAATGTTTAATAAAATTGGGAAGAAACATTTAGCTGTTAAAACTGTTTTTAGATGATAATCAATCTACTCAATTCAGAAAAGGCAATTACTGCAATTTTACAGATTGTATGTTATTTTTACTTGTTCAATGCATAACTAAGGATGTTTTACAATAATCTAGTTTATTTAATAGTTGAATTCATGAGTCAATTAAATTTCGATCACCATGGAAAACTTGAAACCACTGAACGGTTGTTTCACACTAGTATGTGACTCCTCAGCAAAGTGCATTCATGATCCTGCCTCGCGAGATCACAGATTTTCCATGGTGGTCTGGCTTCGATTGACTCAGGAATTCAACTATTAAATTGCTATAATATCCACGAAATCCCTCTCTGATTATAATCTAGTTTATGACATGGCAGTTTATAGTAAATTATATCAGCAAGCTTTATTGTAGTTTATCGAGATTTATTTCAGAAATACTTAGCAGTAATCTCATATACTTCTCATGTCAACAGTTACAGTTCACTGATATTATTGATGTCAAGTAATGTTTTCGATGATCACCACTTGGTCAGAACATTGTGAGGACGAAGGGAAAAATTTTCAGTATAGGGTTGTGGAGATTATTACGTTTTTGATTGAAATCATGATTTGATTGATGTTAGACCCCCCATTAAAAACTTGGAAGAACTGGACGGCCAACTCTTCCTATTGTGGGACTCCCTATCGGTGCGTATCCACGGTTTCGAACTCAGGACTAATCACTCCCACGCGCGAGCGCTTAACCATTAGATGACTGAGCCGGCATCCAACGGTGTAAATGTCTAGCCTCAAGCAAACCACGAAATTGCGCCACCGTCCACCACTGTATTCAGTGAGTTGATATCTCACAACAGACCATGTTTAACTTCACTGGTCACGGCTTTTCACTAGAAATCTAAGAAATGGCTCTTGAAGTCAGTAACTCGTGAGCAAATGATTATTATCAGAAGTGGTTTTGGTGGAGATTTTAATAATTTCACTAGTTGAATTCATGAGTCAATTGAAGCTAGACCACCATGGAAAATCTGGAAAAATTATTACTAATAATGTGTGTGTGAGAGAAAGAGTTTAGAAAAAAGATGCATAACAAAGTTAATCTCTCATTGTACAATATGGATAGCCAATTATATTCTTTATTAATTAAAACAAATCTACACAAAGCATTCACTGTCCATCATTTCATGCCATTTAAAATTGGTACTTTTTTTGTGAAAGTAAATTGTAGCTAAACTGAGTAATGTATAGTTTTTTATTATTCAGTAGTACATTTGAATAACACATATTGTTACCATGACAATTATTATTATTATTATTATTATTATTATTATTATTAGATTGATCATGACAGGATGCAATGATGAGATTGAATGTGAAATAGATCATGATCATAATTATCTTTTAGATTAGTATTTACTATCTCCTAATAATATTACTATATACATAATATAAATACATCCAGATGTATACAAATTGTTGGGTATTTGATACCAGTTTTATTAGTCAAGTTAATTAAGAAGATTTTCACTGAAACAATACTTTGTTTATATCTAATCGTTTATTGTAAGATTAGACATTATCTTAATTTGGCTTTGTCTTACTAATTGAACCCATTTTCTGTCAGTTACATACACGTGTCTACTGAATAAGAAGAATATAGATGATGAATTCGAGTAAAAAAAGTATCTATGTACATGTTTAGATGGTGGCATAAAATCAAGCTATTATTAGGTTGATCTCATAATACTAATTATTATCAGTGATTAGAATGTATAGGTTGGTTATGACTTGTGATATGTATTATATTTATTTAAGTAGTATATATTAGTATCAGAATGGGTTTTGTGGATATTATAGTCATTTTAATGGTAGAGATCATGAGTCAATTGAAGTTAGATCACTATGGAAAACCTGAAAGCACTGGATAGACGTTTCATCCTATTGTAGGACTCCTCAGTAGTGCGCATCCACGATTCCACTTCGCGAGATCCGAATCGAGGACCTGTCAGTAGATATTATTTGCATCAGAATAATTTACCTTCCGTTTATAAAAAAATCGTCTAAGAATGATGACGAAATCTGAATAAATGGTGTTATTTGTTTCACACTGATTAGATATTCAATCGGTCATGTAATTTTATTTTGTGCTGTAACTTGACTTTACTGATAATGTACAACATGACTTGTGATTGATTAATTTCAATATTTCGGTATTAAGAAGACATTTGATTAGTATGCACTTTATGTTTTGATTATAAAGAGTTAAACTGAGGATCAGAATTTATTATGTGGCTTAATTATAAAATCAAGATATTGATTATTCAAAGATGATGAGAAGGAATTACATAAATGAAGCTCGAGAAGATATTCAGATTGGTTGCTTGTTCGAGATCCATTAGATACAATAATGAACCTCAACTATAAGGACAGTTCAGTTCTCATGACGACGAACATCATTTTGTAAATGCATCTTAAAGCTGATAATAGCTGCAGAATGCCCACAAACTTTGATAAGCAATCTATCTAGCCTATCCTCTGAATAGTTATACAGATTATACGTTAGGTCCTTTAAACAGTATCAGAGAAAAAACGGTTACTTCAACATCAGTAACAAAAATTCAAACTACGTTACTTTCTTACTGTTTATACTATTTGAAATAAACAGTGTTCGTCATGAAATAAAAGTACTAACAGTGAACAACAACAATGAGCAACAAACAGTCAGATTTAACGTCGACAAAACATGGTTAAGAAGAAATAACTGACTTTATCTTGAAAAATATGATGATGATGACCCGACCTAGGAAGAACCAGTAAAAGCTTTACGATAACATTGTTTTTCTCAAAGGACTCAACACTAAGAAAAAGTTCCAGGTTAACAAAACTAACTGTTAATCATTTATGAAATAAAGTGTAATAGCCCAATTCTTCTTGAAATATATCGTGATTATATTGCTTAGGAAGGCAATAAATGCTTTGCGACTAAACTGTTTCACTCGGAGAACATAATGTGTCTTTATATTGAGCTATAAATATTCTACCATAATCTTGAGGTTGCGAGACCATAATTTATGGACGAACCAATCCGACTGGGAATAACACGTCTTGTATTTTGGTGCGAAATTCAATCATTCATTTGGCTAAATAGAGTTTTGGCATTATAGCTTATGTCAGTTCGTGATGAAAAACCGTAAATCTGATTCCTAACCCTAACCATCAACTGTGAATCGTAATATTTATTCTTCAAACTGCTTTATAATCGTTATTTAGCTATAGGAAGTAGGTGAACACTCTCAAAGTAACTTTGGTGTCTCTCACAGGTTGTTCAAAAATTATAGTCCAAACCTAACCAGCTTCCAGCTCAAGAGGAAATTAAGAAAAGACGATAAAAATGCATAGAACATACATTACACAAATCATCAAACTGCACCACGAGGCAAAACCTGACTTGGAATGCTGAAGGGAAGCAGAAATGAGGATGGCCAAAGAACACATTACATCAGGAAATAAAAGGAGATATGGAAAGGATGAATAACAACTGGAAAGAGCTGGAAAGGATTGTCCAGGACAGGGTTGGATAAGGAGTGTTGGTAAGCGGCCTATGCTCCTTCACGAGGAGTAACAGACATAAGTAGGTAAGTAATCCTCGAGGTCTCTTATTCATTGAACTAACTTGTAAATATTCTACTTTCTATGTTTTTAAAAATAAGGTAAAGAAATTTCTTTTTAATATTTAATAAACTCATAAAACACTAAAATACGCAAAAACGTAATAAAAGTTAAATGAATAAAACAATAGTATTTACCGAATTTGAGAACAAAATGAGAATTCAAATTAAACCAGTCCATCACCATTATCACCAAACAAATCATCCAGATTATTATTATTATCACGATCATCATCATCATCATCATCATCATCATCATCATCATCATCATCATCATCATCATCATCATCATCATCATCATCATCATCATCATCATCATCATCATCATCATCATCATCATCATCATCATCATCATCATCATCATCATCATCATCATCATCATCATCATCATCATCATCATCATCATCATCATCATCATCATCATCATCATCATCATCATCATCATCATCATCATCATCATCATCATCATCATCATCATCATCATCATCATCATCATCATCATCATCATCATCATCATCATCATCATCATCATCATCATCATCATCATCATCATCATCATCATCATCATCATCATCATCATCATCATCATCATCATCATCATCATCATCATCATCGTCATTAATTTCTTTCTTTCTTATCTATTTATACTCTACATATTTAATATAAACCCATACAAAACAATCAAATAAATAAATGACAAAATAAAAAGTGGAAGAGATTAAAATCAAACAATAAACGTTTAATGATTTAATTTAATTTTTCTTTTTTTGACTAATTTAAATAAAATTTATTTATTCAATTTTGGCTTCTATCCTTTTTTTCTTTTTTCTTTTTTTCTTCTTTTTGCTTTTGATGAATAAAAGTAAAATCAAGTTCTATTATAATAAAATTAAGTTTATATCACTATCGTCTATTGTTCAATTTTCACGGGATGACATTCACTGAATACACTTAATGGAAATTGAATGTTACAATGGAAGTGTTTAAATTTCTTTCAATAATCATTCAATAGTTGAAAAGAAAATTATTTATCTTTTATTATTATTCGTTTTTGTATACTAACGTTCTCTTTTACTTTTCCTTTAAAATAATTATTCATTAAAGAATAATTAGACTATTGACAGTTCTCAAATACTCTAGTACGGTCGAGAGTGAGGAGAGTGAGATGTTCCTCTCCGAATGCTCTCACATAGTCAAGTGCATACAACCACTATCACGAATGTTCTACTCACTGTCTTCTTGAGGAGGAGGCATTGTTTACGAAATTGAGAAAACGAAAAGTGAATGTCCGTCACTTTAAACGGGAAGGTGGATATGGAGGATACACTTAGAGTAGTTGGCGAAGCCTGATTCCCAAACATGGGTGCGCATGAGCTCCAGAATTTTGAGGGAACAAATGGTGTACGAACCAATTGTTGGTCGTCGGCTACCGTGGGACTACATCTCCTTAGACTGCTACGCTGACTTTTGTATCAGACTTTTAGGTTAAAGGCTCGTAATGTGGCCCACTAAGAAAACTACCCGGTTCGTTGTGGATACCCGGGAAGTATTACGGTCCATACACAAATCAAGTGACCTGTGTTGTGTATATTATTATTATTATCATCATCAGCTTTATTCAATATTATATTTTTGGTACAATATAGAATTCTCAGCACAAAGTATTTCAACAAGTTTCCGTTTCCTTCTTCTTGGTCGGTCCTGGCGATGAATATTGAGTGATCGCCAGTTAGATGTTAGCATTCCAGTAAATGAATATCTGAATAATGTGCATTCTTCTCGTTGTATATTGCCAGCAACCACATTGTCTCTTATTGGGTTTTTTGTAACTTTGACAACGAAAGGTTGTACACTTTTCAGAAATGCAGCAGAATAGTTTATGCGATTAATAACATAATGATATATTAAAACAAACAAAAATAGATAACTTGTTGAAATATCTAGATGGCAGGAACATGTAGCCCAGATGCTCAAGCAGGCCGCCCTTTTTCGTTGTTCGTTTGTACTAATATGTATGTCTTCAAATAAATAAATAGACTGTTGGCATTATTTGATAATTGGTAAAGTGATTAATGTTTTATAAATAGAATTTTTATTAAATAGTGCAGTTGATAGAAGGTCAACCTAGAAAATGCAATATATGTAAATTTCCATAGCTTCTGTCCGTTGTTTGATCAACAGAAGTCAAGAATTACATACTGCAGATCCGTTTTTAGGGGATACATGTACCTGCTAATCGAAGCAATTATTTTAAACTATGATTCGATTAGTTTTACAGATTGGCTTAAAAGTTTGAACAATACCCTTTTCTTAATTTTAATTTGATGGGTATATTTTATAACACTTCACCACTTAGTAAAGAATAGAATAGGATTAATTTGAGGTAGAGTCTCAAAGTAGCCATAGAGAAAATATACCATGATACTGAATTAATTTTTAGTGAAAAATCAAGCTCACGATTACATATAGGTGTAAACAGTACATTTCCCGTTACGTCACGTCCAAGTGCATGTACAAACTCTCATGTTTTTATGGAGGAGTAATTGAACAATACAATCCTAATATGTAATATGTACCAAAATGGCTACAGAATTAGTTCGTGTCAAATGATCCGACCAGCATAGGAAGTAGAAAATCATATTCAACAGTAGTGGAACATCTAACTGAAACGGATCACAGAGCTGACATAAATACAGCTTTTAAATCATTATACAGAACTTTTCAAGATGAATCTCTTAGGTTTGTAAATGCCTTGGCTACGGGAAAATTTGAACTTCCTTTATTTCCACAAAAACAATTTGTCAAAACTTTTAATCTATCCTGGTAAACATTAGACCATTTTACGACCTAGAGTGATGTGGTAATCTCTTTTTATTTTCACATTATTTTTTCTTTACCTTATTTCTTATTGTTACTTTATGTTTATTCAAACTGTTATTTGATTAAAATAAGAGTGGAGTTTTGTTGATATTATAGTAAGTTAGTAGATGAATTCCCAAGTCAATTGAACCTCGATCGTGAATCGTGAATGCGCACTGCTGAGGAGTCTCATACTAGAACAAAACGGCCGTCCAATGCTTCCAGGTCTTCCATAATGGTCTAGCTTCAATCGACTCATGAGTTCATCTGATAAACTGTTATCTGATTGGCATTTATTAGTTTTTATGTATAGAAATATGTTGACGATTACGTGTAATCAGATTGTTCGAAATGTATAACCCTTTCTATTACGTCGTCTTGGTTATTCCTTTATCACATTTCCTCACAGAACTAGTACCTCAACAGCTTGATAATAAATTCGTTGAAAAGAGATCCGTTCTTTGAACTTCATGTTTTTAGTTTTTAGTGGTTAAATGAGAATTATCCGTCATATTATATTATTAATTAGTGACCATAATGATTTCTCCTTTTATAAAGAAGAGAGTACTTTGTACAAGATAAGAGTGATCAGTGTTCATATAAATTAATAGATCAGCTTCAATTGGAAGACTAGCATGTCCAGTTAAATAGTTTGTTATTTAGTTCAAGATTTAAACTAAATCACTTTTATTTTCGTGAACATATCACGGTATACAGGTGCAAGCTATGTATTTGTAAATCTAGATAACAGTGAACCAGTGATTAAGATGGTTAAACATTCACCTCATGACCAAAATTTACTGATTTGTTCTTTGGTCGATAATGCTTAGAATTCGCATTACTTACTTACTTCCTTACGCCTGTTAATCCTCGTGAAGGAACATAGGCCGCTCACCAGCATTCGCCATCCAACCATGTCACAAGCAATCCTTTCGAGCTCCTTTCAGTTTCTATTCATCCTTTCCATATCTCCTTCTATTTCCTGATGTAATGTGTTCTTTGGCCATCCTCATTTCTGCTTCCCTTCAGCATTCCAAGTTAGGTTTTGCCTCATGATGCAGTTTGATGATTTGTGTAATGTATATCCTTTCCATTTCCATCGGCTTTTCCTAATTTCTTCTTCAGGTGGAATTTGGTTTGTTCTCTCCCACAAAAGGCTGTTGCTGGTGGTATCCAGCCAATCGATGTTGAGTATATTGCGTGGACAATTATTTATAAATACTTGTACCTTCTTGATGATGGTTGTTGTAGTTCTCCAAGTTTCAGCTCCGTACAGTAGAACTGTCTTGACGTTCGTATTGAAGATTCTCACTTTGATATTGGTTGCAAGTTGTTTTGAGTTCCATATGTTGTTCAATTGTAGGAATGCGGTCGTCGCTTTGCTAATCCTCGTCTTTACGTCTGCATCTGAACATCTTTGTTCATTGATGATGCTTCCCAGGTATGTTAAGGATTGCAGATCTTCCAGAGTTTCACCATCTAGAGTGATTGGATTGCTGTTCTCCCGTTTGAATTTGAGGTCCTTGGTTTTCCCCTAGAAGTCGTATGCCAAGGTAAAACTGTTGATTAAAACTTTGAAGTCTTAAATATTCCACAAGTATCATTTATCTATAACGAGTATAATCCATAAATAATTCCAATCTTGACAAACCATCCAAAAAAGTATTAAACGGTTACCACATTTTTGTTTATATAATGCAGCTACTGAATTCTGATTAGTAAGTAGTAGTTTCCGAAATATGCAAATAGTATGTTTTTTCGAATGGTATGTAAAAATCTAAAGAAAGCTCTGAATTTTGATTTCTTTCAAGTATGTATTAATTTCATTAGTTGCATCAACCTGCACCATTTCTAAACGATTGCGAAACCATAAATGATAGATTTTAGTTTTTTACGAAATTATTAAATTAACAGATGATAGTAAGATTAACTTCTTTACTGATTAATTATATTGAATTATATATTGAATTCCAATGGTGAAATAAGATCACAGGATAGACAGACATCATCATCCATTGCGAAACATTTGATTGAGACGGGTCATAAGGTTGATATCAAATCAGCATTTGTTGTGTCGTACAAAAGCCTTCAAGGACGTATACTAAGGTTTATTGAAGCCTTGGCTATACGAAAATTGAAACCCCCTTTATGCGTTCAAAAACAATTTGTGCTTACACTTAACCTACCCTGGTAGTACTGATTTACTATCCAGAGTGGTAATCACATTTGTTTTTTTGTGTACTTTAATATTTTTCCTTTGTTATGACTTACCCTTAACCTGTCTAGTTGACCTTTTAATTTTTCATAAATGTTCTTAACAAGTATATGTGTGATCAGATTGTTCGAAATGTATTGCGCAAATATATCACATAATTTTGATAAACCACGTCTTCTCATTGCATTATCGTAATTATATTGTAAAGAAATTTCAAAAAGGTTTCTTTAGACATTATTGATATGATGGACTTTTCATTTTATAGTTGAGTGATAACTAACAATGCAATTTAACTCTAAGCTATTGGTAATTAATACGAGAATCGAGTTTTATTGACTTAGTTAAATATTCATTGAAGTTTGCGTGGATTACTTTATTGACTTGGGTCAAATATCAACAGTTGCATTTTCTTATTAGAAATAAAGTGACCTCACTTAACAAGTTCATTGATATTAATCAACACATGCTCACTGGTGCTGGTCTTTAAAAGGCAGTTCCTGGAGTTCTAGTGGAAAACAGTGATCAGTGGAGTCCAACCGTGTCTGTTGTGAGATGTGGCGCTCGATTTCGTAGATTAGTTGAAGTTAGACAT